ATGAAGACAGATCCGCAAGAGTGAACATGGTACAGTGTAGCAAGTAGTTGTCAAGGGTAACAGAAGTCTAGTAACCAGTGCAAGCAGGCTGTTGTGAAGTGTGGTACCTGTGCAAGGCGAGGTATCCTCTGGAAGTGTCTCTGGGACTCTCTCCAACATGGTTCCATCTCCAAAAGCAACGGGAGCAGATCAGCGTCATGGAGGCTCTCGGCCTAGCTGACAGAGAGTAAGAAGACAAAATGCACAGATGATGTCCTTGCTAGGTGCATGGTGGGACCCCATTCTGTCACTGGGAGTGAGGTGACAGAGATACACTGGATGGGTGGAGTGAGCATAGGCTCAGCGTGTCCCTCCAAAGTGCAAACACTTACAGTCAAGGTGTGCTTTGATATGGGACCAGAGGGTTAATTGGAGTTCAGTTTATTCACTCGGAACACAGTGTATGATCATCTCTAAGTTGGAGTACCACCTTAAGGCTGAATTTCCCTGACACCGGTCCCCACCTTATCCACAGGCATTGATGAGCATGACACATTAAAAGTACCCCATGTGCAGGGAGAGTGACCTTGCCCTCAGTGCAGAAGGAATTGGATTTTTAAGGTGCTTTACCCATTAACCAAAACATGAGCAGTTAAAATACGATGATGTTTATTGCAAATCCATATTAAAAAAAAAACATTGAGAATTTCACAGAAGTGTTCTCTGTTAACATCCTCTATGATCATTATTAGTACTGGCAAGGTCCCCTATGCATTTTCTTCTACATGTTTCCCCGCATGGCTTCTTCAAGAAGTATGCATATAGGGAACTAATAAAGATACAAAAACAAATTTGAAAAACATCTAAAAAACTATACATTTACAGACTACACATCTTATATGAAGGGATAAAGAACCCACCCATATAACGATCATCCAATGATCATTACATAGGTGGGTTTAATATCCCTTCATATAAGATATGTAGTCTGTATAGATAGTTTTTTTTTAGATGTTTTACATATGTGTTTTTGTATCTTTATTAGTTCCCTAGATGCAAACTTCCTGAAGAAGCCATGCAGCAAAACATGTAGAAGAAAATGCATAGAAGACTTTGCCAATAATAATAATGGTCATAGAGGAAGTTGGCAAAGAACACTTATGTGAAATTCTCAATGTTTTTTAGTATGGATTTGTAATAAACATCATTGTATTATAACTGCTCATGTTTTGGTTAATGGGTAAAGCACCTTAAAAATCCTGTCCCTCTTAAACATATAGTGGGATTTTCTCAAATATGACTGCAAAATGGTAATACCCCTTAAGATTTGATGCTGAACATGCTGAAAATATAACGGATCTACCGCCACCCCCCACCCCACAAAAAAAAAGTATTCTTCTAGATCAATATATACTCTGTGTACTATGTAAAAACACTAGATAATATGTATATGCTATACAAATTAATATTAATAATACCAATAATTAAAACGTAAGTAAGTTAAATATTTTATAAACAGTTGACTGCCAATTCTCATCTTTACAGAAAGGCACTTTTTCTATTTGGCTGTGCTTCAAAGCAATTGTTTACGTAGTCCTACATGTAGTGCTTTAGAATTAGCATATACCGTTTATCCTGAAATGTCACCACATGCATAATCTTCTTTTTCTGTCCTAATGCTAAGTAATTGACATGACATGCATTTATGAAATGACAATTCATATATGCATTCCTTCTACTGCCTTCATTATAGTTTGAAGTTTAAGAATTTCTTCACACAAAATAGATAGAAGGTTTTTTATTGATAGAAAGATGCATTCTTTTACAAATGTTAGCCTGAGATTTTATCATTGATTGAACACATCTAAATATAAAAAGCTGTATATCTTATCTGTAGTCATTGTTCTACATGCTGCTACAGATGAAACAACAACCGCAACACAATAAAACAATTTTAAAGAATTTTTTTTGTTAAATAACAAACGTCATCAAACCTATAGTAGAAGTACTGCTACAGGGCAGCAGGGCTGCGCAAAATCACGTATATATACATGATTCGCATTTCTGGGTAGGGGGTGCGCACGATACTCTACCCACACCACCACTGGCGGCTACAGATGTCAATCACCTGGTCCTGGTCGGAGATTTCCTGACGGGACCTGGCGATCGCCAAGTAACACTGACAGAGGAGAGACCTGTGTATAAACACAGATCTCTTTCCTGTCAGCAAGACCATGCTGTTGTGTATTTCTCTGCACAGCAGAGAAATACACAGCAGCATGTTTCCCTAGTAAAACACACACAATGCATTATGTAAAACAGCACACAGTTAAGCCTTTGATTGCCCCAGATGTTAACCTCTTCCTGCCCATTGTCATTAGTACAGTATCAGTGCTTTTTGTTAGCACCGATCACTGTATTAGTGTCATTGGGATGTCAGTGGCAGTTAGTTCCCACCCAGTGTCAGATTGCCAGCCGCAGTCCCTCTGTCCCGGAGTCCTGCTATAAGTCACTGAATGCCGCCATTACTAGTATAATAAATAAATAAATATTCCAATATATACAGTATATGTATATATATATATATATATATATATATATATATACCACCATTTGTAGACTCTATAACTTTCACACAAACCAAATAATTTATATGTATTGGGATTTTGTTTAGCAAATACATGTAGCAGAATACATTTTGGCCCACATTTATGATGAAATATAAGTTTTTATATTTTTTTCACTGGATATGTTTTATAACAAAAAGCCAAAAAATATATTTTTTTTTTCAAAATTGTCAGTCTTTGTTTGTGTATAACACAAAGAATAAAAAATGCACAGGTGATTAAATACCACCAAAAGAAAGCTCTATTTGTGGGAAAAAAAATGTCATGTACATAAATTTCATGTACAGGGTTGCATGAATGCACAATTGTCAGTTAAAGTAACTCAGCGCTGTATTGCAAAAAATAACCTGGTCAGGAAGGGGGGTAAATCCTCTGGAGGGCAACTGGTTAAATACCATGCTCTTCAAAATATATAACGTGCCCTATTCCCACATAAACTATGTGCAAAAAATGCATAAATATGCATCCCAAAACATAAAATAATGTGGAACAAACAAGTGCCTAATTCCACACGAACTGTGCGCAAAACAAATTAAATCATATACATAAAATATATAGGTGTATGATTTATGATATCCTGAGGAAGTCAGGTGACTGATCGTGATGTAATGCGTAGGTACGCCAGTAGGAGGGGCTTCCGTTACGTAGTGACGTCAGATCCGGCGCAGGAGCCATCTTGGTGCACCCATTTGTATCCACACAGGCAGTACACCCACAATGTGGTGTGAAGGCTCACTGTATGCTACATAAATGTGAGTGGGCATTCCATTGTTATATGGAAGTTTATTAAATCAGGTTTACACTATATTGGCTGTTCTCTGTCTTGTTACTGGGGACGTACATGGAGTAATACTTATCCAGCAGTGCCAGTAGATGTTGGAAGCTCAATAAACAGAGGAGGAGGGGGAGTACCACCACTACTATTAAGAAGATCATCTGGAAAGATCACCAGTGTGATTTATAAAGCTCATTGGTCCTTTGGGGCCTGGGCAGGAAGGTGAGGGGGCACTACAGCTACAGAGGATTGGCACGCATTTCGGCACCAGCACGCGTTCCACCTGCATGAGAGTGTTTTGATCTTAGTGGACATTTTTATTATGAGTGAATTGTTGTATCACTGTTTTAAGTACATGTGGCACGACTCACTTTATTTGTATATAGTGAATTTTCCTTTCAAGGGACACACTCACTGCTTGCATGCATATATGATCCCTCAGATGGGGATCAAGAGGGGATAGATAGCATCAATATTGGCATATTCCCATGGTTTTGTTTTTTGTCTGTTGGGTTATCCTGCATGTTTTTCATTTTTTTCATGTGTACATTGCACTATTAGGTTGAGTCCCTAATAGATGCCCATAAGCGCTGCACTATTTTACCATAATAATTTACATAAATTGAGAAATATTGCCTGATTTCACCACAAACTATGTCTGTAGCTTAAAATAAACATAACTTATATTGCAATAAAAGTCTGTGAAGGTTATAGTGCTCTGCGTCAAAAGTTTTTATTCAAATTGTGCAGAAATGAAAGAAAACACCCGAAAAACAAGTGCTCCTTCTTTCTTCCCAAACGAGAACACACCACATGCAACAGAGATATATGACCTCTTTTTGTCAAAGAATGTCAATTGATACCCCGGTTGGGCTCCCTTTCTCCAGTGGATACACCAAACACTTGAGGAATAAGAAGACTAACATTCCAGCATTAATCTTGTGCTTTTAAGAGACTCTGCAAGAATTTCCCTCACAGACGGAAAGAGATAGAAGAACCTCTCATAGTGTAGCACATTCTTTTTTTAAAAAAAAAAATACTTTAAATTGCACTTACATAGGCTCATAATGTTAAAGCAGATACTGTATAGAAATCTGGCCTATATTAAAAGGCTTTTTACAGGCATTTGCTTTTTTCAGTCTGTAAAGATATGTTAGCCCATGTGTCCATGCACACATAGGAGTTTACAGGCATATTAGAAGAAAACCATTTACAGACCCTAAATAAAACCCATCATCAGAGTGTTCAGGAGAGGAGCTTTTGGGCAGAAAATATGCTTGAAGTGCTTATCTATGCCTAAAGGCTAGACATGTTTAGCTCTTGAGCATTTATTCATTACAATGGCCAAATGTGCCTAAATGCATGTGTAATAAGTGGCTTTAGGTAAGTTTTTTAAAGGATAAGTTAACCTTTTAGACCATGTTCCAGCTCCTGCCAGTACTCGCTCTCATTGTGACAGCAGGCAAGAGATTTTCTTCCCCTCTGTCACAATTCAAAAACAGCGCCCATGCAATTCAAAAACTCTGCCCACACAGCCACGTCATTCATTCACAGAATCCTGTGAATAAATGAACTACAACTACAACCCTTGAGGCTGACAGCTTGTAGTTCTAAATGGACTACGGGGTCGCTGATGAGCGCTCTCGTGGTTCATTCAGAAGGTTTGCAACTTGTAAACAGCCAGACCGTATTGGTGGTATGGGCTGAAAACGGAAGAGCTTGTCTGCAGGAGCCTGACCTTGCACCCCTGATCCACTGATCATGAGTGCAATGCTTTGCAGGCTCCTTCTGGAAAAAAATAATACATGCACATTTTTTTTTTCTGCAAAAATATGTGCATTATTATTATTTTTTCCCTAACGGCAATCTTATCCTATAAGCTGCTTTTTCCTGCCAGGAGTAAAAGGCATTCAGAGGAGAAATGCCCTGTGTGCATGAGGCCTTATGCATTTGGTATATTACATACTTAAAGTGTATGTAAATAATAAACTCTTTGGGGGGTGAGCAAACAGGATATCTGTCTGAGGAGCTACTGGTATCCTGCCTTGTCCTGACTGATTTTGCCGATTACAGAGACTAACTACCGGCACCCCTGTCCTCGGATAGTGCTGGTGTCTTTCCTGTTGCATTCCACCATGCTTTCCAAAAGAAAATCCGCAGACCTGCTGGCTGGAAAGAAACAACCTGCTTCACTGGCCTAGTGTACAGATGCCATCTTGGAGAGGCTGCAGGCTCCACTGGCAGATGTGGAGATGGATGCAGAACAGGAAGGATCATCCTCTGAGAGGATAACACAGTGGTTATACTGAATGCCATTGAGCAAAGTAAGACCTCACTCCTGGTCCGTATAGATTACCTGATTGAGGAATGCAACCTAGTTCAGATAGACCTTGATAAAATCCATTGCCGCCTCTCTGAAACAGAGAACACGATCCCGGCCACTGAAGACCCTACAGCACAATATATTGATGTCCTGGCTAAGCATTTGTACACTGTCCAAACTTTATTGGCTAAGTTGGATGACGCTGAAAACCGACTCAAACAAACCAATATCCACATCTTGAGCCTAACTGAAGGGGCAGAAGGCGACCACCTGGCAGAATTTGTGGAGGCTTACTTCAAAAGTCTGCTGAACCTGGATGCTGTTTCTCCCAATTATGTGATCGATCAGGCCCATCGAGTGCCAACTGGCCAGAGGCCAACGGGGGCCTCGCCACGGCCTTCATGGTGCGCTTTCTCAACTACAGAGTTCAGGACAGGATCCTTAGTGAAATCTGCAAACATTCCACTCTTTCATATCAATATACCATGGTGCACCTTTATCCAGATTTCTCTGCGTAATTGCAGAGGAAATGCAAGTCCTTCACTGACATGCGACTAAGGCTTCGGAAAAAAGAAATCAAGTACAGCATGTTGCATCCCAGTCACTTGAGAGTTCAACATGAAGGATCAGTGAACTTTTTGAATCCCCCAAAGATGCTGATTCCTGGCTGCTTACCCTGCAGTTAATCCCTCCTGGGGGTTACAGAGCTCTGCCTGCTCTCCAAAGGATACAGTTTGAATCCTTTTCTTGTTGGTAAGCATCAAGATGTCCTCCTTGCTATTCCTATGGCACAGGGTCATGTTAAATCAAAATTTTCTCTGTGTTTTCCCTGGGCTCCATGGTAGCCATGACCCTCCTGAGACAATTCCTGGACAAGCAGGACACCACCCCTCCTGCAACCAGCAAGTTTCCTTCCTTATTGGATCAGCTCCAACTGTTGGCACTGTTTTTCCTGTTTTTCTTTTACTTTTTGTTTTTGTTGTCCTTTTCCCTGGTTCTGCAGGGATTGATGTTCCGGGGCCTTGTCTGTGGGGTTGCATGCCCCTCCAAACTTGTCTACTGTTCTAGCCCAGACAATATCTGAGACTTCTACCTCAGGATTCAGTTATTGCTATGGGATCAAAACTGCCATTGCTAGCTTAGTTGGGGTAATGCTAGGCAGTAGGGAGTTTTGTATTTGGTTATTATTGTTTTTAGTAGTTCTTCTGTGTAAGACTTACACTTGTCTAATAAGCATGCTTTATCCCCTGTATTGGAGATCCCTCTTCTGCACAGTTTTCAGGATGACAACCCCCTTCTGGCCGCCTTGTATCCATTATTTTTGCAATATAACCCCTAGTTGCCCTTACTCGGGTAAATCTCTATCTACTTGGTCATGGAAATTAAGCTGACATCGTGCAGTATCAGGGGCTTAAATAATCAAGTGAAACAATCTCTACTGTTTAAATACTTTAGCTTTCATGTGCTCTTTTTGCAAGAAACCCACTTGGTTGGCAGCTCCATCCTTGCTTTACACAAGTCCAGGTCCTTGATAGCACTTTAGACACTTCTAACGCTCTTTGAATTGCTCCTGCTGACCTTGCAAGTTGGGCCAATACTTACAACCTCCAGGAAATCTGGCATTGGAAACATCCTGACATCAGAGCTTATTCTCATGTGTCAGCTACACATAGGTAAGGCTCCCGAATAGATCTCATGTTTGGAAGCGTCCTTTCTCATGTCTATGCCGCCTCTTACCTCCCAGCGGGTCTCTCGGGCCATTCACCCTTAGTGGTGCATCTGGCCTTAGGGACCCATCAGTATTCAGGATGCTGGAGGTTAGCCTCACATTGAGTCCAGGACCCTAAGATTAACAAATTGGTATCCCCTAAGTTAAATGAATATTGGAACTCCAAAGAGAGAGCACAGCTTACCCTGCAGTCGTATGGGAGGCTCATACCAGAGGAGAATATATTTCCTCTGTTAAGACCGTCCGTAGAGAATATGCCTCTCAAACAGTTCATTTGGAGCAGATTGAGACTGAAGCTGCAGCAAATTTTGTGGCTGCTCCAGACCATTACACTACACTGATGCATTCTGATAATAAATGGTTGACCAATCTAGAGACAAAAATGGGAGCCTTCTGGCCAACCTAGTGGCGGATACCTGCTATCAGACAGTAATTCCAGAACTCAACTGGGAATCGTAATACTGATCTTGCTGCTATTTTACAGGAATTCTTTTCATTTTACAGCTTGTTATATGGTGTCTCCCCATTTGGTTCAGCGCAAGCCCTGGATGATGCATTGGAGGGGATCCACCTACGCTCTCTCTTTCCGGAGGAGGCAGGCAGTTTGCAATCTCCACTGACTCCTCTTGAAATAGAGACCGCTATTTGATCTTTCCCACCTCATAAATACCCTGGTCCAGATGGACTGCTTGGGGAATGGTATAAGGAACACTCATCCATATTGGTTCTGAATCTAAAACTGCTATTTGATTGCTGTCTGGATGCTTGCAAGCTTTCTACATCTATGTACCAAGCACACATAGTGCTTATACCAAAACCTGGTAAAGATTTAACCTCTTGTTCCTCCTTACTATGATCTAAAAAGTCTGACTAAAGTCCTGTCCACCAGATTGATGAAGGTCCTGCAATCCATTATTGACAACGACCAAACCGGATTCATGCCCGGAAAGTCCACAGATATCAATATCTGCAAGGTTCTCAGCACCTTCAACTTCCTCCAGATGATACTGCTACTAGAGTTTGGTTGCTTTAGACATTGAAAAAGCATTTGAACTACATGATGGCAGTCCTAGAAGCATTTGGGGGTTTGGCCCTGTTTTTCGTAAGTGTATTGAGATTTTATGCAAAACGCCTGTAGCACAAATTAAACTGGGCAGGAAACTTTCAGCTCCATTCTCCTCACATGGGGGGGGGGGGGGAGATGAGGCAGGGGTGCCCTCTTTCCCTGCCCTGTTCACTTTGGCTATGGAACCCCTGGCAGAAGCGCTGAGGATGTCATCTGGGGTGTCGGGATCCGGGTGGGCTACGTAGGAGGGAAACTGTTAGTGTATGCCGATGACCAGATATTATCTCTTCCCAGGAACCTCCCTTTCTGAGGCTCTGTGAATCCTTGCTTGTACTCAGGCCTTATGACCAACTGGTACAAATCACTTATTCTTTCGTTTTACCCAGGGGCGAGAGCGTTAGAAGATCCCACTCTCCCCCTTCAATGGGCAACTACCATTTGTTATCTAGGTGTCACTATTCTACTCAAATACTAAAGATTTTAGCAAACTTAATTTGTTGCCTGCATTGAAGTGATGTAAGCAGAAACTGAGGGCATGGGCCAAGTTGCCTTTGTCTCTTATCGGACGAATCAACTTAATCAAAAGGAAAATTCTCTCGGTGCTGTTGTATTTCTTGCAACACTGGATTCCGAGCACTTTTTTTATGCAGTTTGACTGTTTAGTATCAACCTTTCTATGGCAATCTCGTCTGGCTTGTTTTAGCAGGAAATTGCTCCGCAGGCCCTGGATGCGGGGAGGACTGGCATGCCAAGACCTCTCCACCTATTATTTAGCAGACGTGCTCACCTTCCCATGCCCAACCCTGGCTGATTTCAGACAATACTAATACCTCTGTTGTTTTAGAGGCAGCTTATTCAGGCTCCTACTAAGCTTTACATAATCTCCTCTACAGAGGACTGCGGGCCCCCTATCCCCCTCTCACCCCTGCAATGCGAGCAGTCATTAAAGCTTGGCATATCACAGTAATGAAACCTAATGCCTATAGTGGACATAGGTCTCCCAACATCCCACTTTGGTTTAACCCTTCTTTATGGGCAACTAAGGGAATCAAATATCTAGACCATGTATATACAGGGGCAAAGCTGGTCATGTTTGACACCCTGAAAAGTATATTTGACTTGCCAAACTCCTTTTTGTTTAGATTCCTTGCAGCTCAGACATGCTTTCCACTTTGGCTCCATGGAACTCCATCTGGAAATAGACAATGTGGAGTCTATCCTTCGGGATGATAGTTTATGTATACAACTTTCTAAAATTTATAAAGCATTTTTGCAATATATACATGGGGGGGTTGGGTTGGATGAAGAAGATTGGGGGGATATGTGGGAATACCCCTTTCAACAACTGATAGCAACAAGGCATATATTAATCCAATTTAAGATTCTTCTATTTTACTCTGCAAAGGTTACACCACATATATTCTACTATATCTTCTGTTAGAGGTGGGACCCTGCTGGATTTACTCATATATTCTGGGACTGCCCACAGATTAGAACCTATTGATTGGATGTGACTCAGTTTATTTCTACAACTATCTATATTCCTTTGACAGTGGGGGTATGCTTATT